GAAATTGCACAACAACCCCCTTGACAAATTTTCAATCTCAAAGGCTAGGTGGTCTTCTAGAACTTGCAAATGAGGATGCACCTAACAAGGAAGAGAAGGTAAATGATGCTTATGTTAACTCCTTTAAATCACGAACTTACTTTTTAGATAATCATAGTTTTTATATTGGCCTAAAAATTTTATTTAAATTTTAAGTTGAAAATTTTTATACGTACCCTCACAAGCCTCTAATCAAATCCAGGCTAAAATAAAACTCGACATGCAAATCACCAAAAAAACAAGGAAAATAAACAATCCTAATCACAATAAAATCAAATCAAACTCATTAAACAATAAAATTAATTAAGTAAATATCCATAGGCAAAGTTCTTGTTTATTACAACCTACAAGTTACATAAATTAAAAGTGGTCGGACACCACTAATCACAAACCCATATTCTAATCCTAGGGTAGACGCAAGTGACTTTGAATGGCATACTCTCTATCTTCAACTCTTCGTCCTTCTTCCCTTCGAGCTCCTTAGATTCATTGTATCTGGATATCCAATTGGAAAGAAAACTCTTCCTCTAGGGGAAGGTTATCCTTTCCTCTTTAGGTATTAAAGTAATTGAAATTTGGGCTTCCAAATGAAAAAGGCACTCCCCTAAGGGATGCCCTTTTCCTCTTTAGAATCCATGTTTGGATTTTTTGTATCCTAACTCAAATGTCAACTTTCAAAACTCTATACATAATTCAATTACATCAACATAAAAATAAAAAATCTAGACTCTCTTGTAAGGTTATCCTAAGCATTTAAAATTTAATAAATCTCAAGCAATTTAATATGCATTGAATTATAAACTCAACCAAACTTGACCGTACTCTTATTTATTTAAATAATTAGAAGATGAAGCACTTATAAAAGATATATTTATTATTAATCTAGCTCCTTTTTGTTGCCCTACACTAGCATGGCCACCTACAGAAAACTCAGTGAGCAACTAGATTGGTCATAAGCTAAGGGTAAATTATTATCCATTAAACCAACTCACGGATTGTAGTTACTCTAAATAAACAAACACTTCAATCAATTTTTAAATCACAACATGTAATGAAAACATGAAAATTGGCAAAAAAATAGTAAATATAAACATCGATCTAGCCTAAACTAGAGTTAGTTATACTAGCAAATCATCTAAAGTGTGTGTAGAAGGCTTTGTTGTTGGGATAGATCCTAAGTTGACTAATCTATTAAATTTATTTGATGTTCGGGTTGGTTAACGATCCAAATGGGGAAGATTTAGTTAGAGTTTAAATAAAAATGTGTTAAGGTTTATTGAGGTTGGTTTTAATTATTAATTGATATTTTCCTTTATATTTCACCAAGCCCTGGAAGTTTATTTCACCTTCTTTAGGGCTAAGTCAATAGGGTCATAGGCCTAGGATACCTAGTAGCAATCACAGTTGATTAAGTTAGTTTAGTGGTTTAAACTTAAGGGTTGATAAATTTTAATCCAAATTGATTGATTATAATTTTTTTTGAAATTTTGATGAAAGTTTTCTTGGATTTTAAGTTAATTATTGAATTTTGGAGTCATCTGGATTATTTTAATGTGTTAATTAAGGGGTTAAAAGTTGACATTTAAAATTAAGTTTGGTTTTGATTTTTGATATTTTTCTTAAATATAAGACCTTAAAATAAATTATTAGACTTTATGTTTGCTCAATTTATAATATTTTACATCAATTTATGATTTTCTGAAGTTTTGACCTAATTTAAACTATCATTGACTAGAGAGTTAAGTTTTTGATTTTGACATAATTTTGGATGTTTGACATTTTAAAAATACAAGATTTTATTTAGAGTTGAATGGCTTTGAGTTTCATTAATTTGGATTTTTTGTAATTATTAATGATTTTTTAAACTTTGTGTATTTTAGAATTTTTAAAATTATCGAATTTAGGGGATTTTAGGATTTTGATCCAAATCTATATCAAACTCCTTGGAATGACCCCCAAAGGTCAGGAATGGAATAAGAGAATGTTTTCAAGTATTTAAAGTTTTTTTTTAGAATTTTAAAACATTTTTAATTAATTAATGTTATTAAATATTGATTTTCCTTGGAAATTAAATTATAGTTAAATTTAAGGTGATTTGATAAGGCTTTTATTTTTCCTATGTTAATTCTTTAATTATGAGTAATTAAAGGGTTTGCTTGTATTTTTAGGATTTAATATGAATTAATAGAGAATTAATTAAGTTTTTTAGACCAAATCAAGGAAGGAATTTTCAGGTTCCTAGTTGGTGGACCAGTTGGGAACAAATTCAAGTGAATTTTGGACCAAGAGATCACCTGATCTCAAGGTCTACTGCCCTTAAATTTTGGCCTAAATGGAGTTCTCTAATGTGGTTTATCAAACCACCAAGGTAACTTCTAGTTTTCCTTCCAAATTCCTAAGTCACTACCTTAGGCTTGGATGGGGATGCAATCAATAGCTCTAAACTCCTTAAACAAATCATAATTATCACACCAAAATCAAATTCTAAATCACATTGGAAAGATCATAGAACCAAATTGAACTTAGGGTTCAAAACATAACCCCTAAGCCTAAAAAGGCATGGATATGCCCTTTAACACCTCAAATAAGGGGGGTAAAATTTGGATATGTCAACGACATGTCAAAATTAAATTCCCCTAAATCTTAATCCATTGTGATACCAATTAAGAACACAAATGCATTAATACCATAAACATTAAAATAAAAATTGACATTCACAAAGAATTAATTAGGGCTTAAGACCATCGTGCTTTTTAAGATCTCCCAGAGATCTTTCCAAAGAGCCTAAGAAAACCTAAATTGCTTAAGTGTGGAGGGAGATATAATTTTTAAAAATTTTCCAATTATTTTGGAATTTTTAAACCCAGATTTACACAATCAGCAGCTCTTTTACATATAGGCGTGCTCTGATTAGGTAGCCAATCATTGATGCAGACTGTGTAACTATGGGGTTAATCCCTGCTATCAGATTATAGATCAGACATATGTGATTAAATGAATTCAAAATTACGGGATCGAATATGCACCATTGAATCAGATCAATTGTCACGATTACGTCTTCAACCTCCCACTATTTCCCAAAGCTGTTGAGCTTCTCCCATGTGATTAGAGCAATCCCATAGGAAAATTTGCTCCAAAATTTAAGGGAAGGATCAGGACATCATAATCCTTCAATCCAATGGTCTGATTTTGGCAAGTTGATGATTTGTTTCACACTTTACTGACACTATCTAGCTAGGAGCTTGGGAAAGGATTCTCACCATGTCGAAAGACCAAACGAATGGATTTTTCTATCAGAAAACTTGAGGGGATGATGTAAAAGACCTTTCATTCAAACGCCAAAATTAGAGGATCTTTAGAGGTAGGACTTCTATCAATACGTGGATGAGTTTTGCCGGAGTTCGCTCGAATAAGTAGGCAGAGGGGGATGAGAAGCTGGGGAATGGCAGAGAAAGCCTTTGAGCGCCCTAGGAAAATTTTGGTAATCTTGGAATTGAATCTGAAGGCCTGGGTGGAAGTGCTCTATTCAAGCTTCGCCCGTGGCCTTGAATGGCTCTGATGGCACTAGTGGATGGCTGGATGGATTTAAGGTGAAAGGGTGCATCATCTTAGAGTCTCGTGAGCTCAAGACTAGTGAAGCCATGCTCTAAAAATATTTCAGTGGAGCTGGGTGATAGGGAAACCACCAAAGCTCCCTTTTTTATTCATCTCGACTGGTGGTAGCCACAAATAGGGTCAGGCTATGTTGGAAAGAATGCTAAAGGTCCGATGAGCTCAAATGAAGGATCAAGAGGGCATGGGAAAGCCTGAATAATTGGGGATGCTCAGGTTGACCCAAACCTATAAGGTTTGGGTCAATTTGAGTGCAAACTCGGTTGAGTAATGGCCTGGGCTTGATAAGAGTAGGTAGGATCATGGTGAACCCAACCATGGATTGAATTTCCCAAGAGGTGGTCAAATTCCCTAACATGGCTCAGGTTTACCATGTTTTTGGGTAGGTTTGGGTCAATTTGGTTGCACCTAGGTCAATCCAAGTCAAAGGCAAAAGATGCATTGGGTCATATTGCAACAAAAAAATCACATTCCAACATTGCAAAAACACAAATCACAAAAATACTTAGTAGTCCTACAAATTTAATGACAAAAGACTGTAACATAAACCATTTTAGCCAGGAAAATGACAAATAACTAAACCATCAAAAATACTTAGGCGAGAACTAAATATAATGTATATACTTAGAAAGAATTTTGCCAAACTTAAAATGAACACAACATATAACAATATTAACCGTAAATAATTAATGAAGGAAAAAAAAAAAAAACTTACCCTTCAACTCTTTTTCGCCGGATGGAGCCGAACCAACATCAAATAGATTGAATGCCAAAATGGGGGAGTAGGATTTTTCGAATGATGAAAAAGTTATAGGACTTACCGACTTTGGCGAGTTTAAATTCTTATTTTTCGGTTGGTTGACGAACTAAAGTAAATTAATATGATACTTAGTTTAAAAATTTACCTTTGTTACAAGGTTATGTATTTGGATTTAATTTAACTTTCTTCATTTGATGTTGGGTTCACCACACAAGGAGGCTTTATCTAATATTTCGCTGCTTGCTTTGATAATTCATGATTAATGTTTAGGTTGAAGAAAGAAATCGTGGCCCATCCGTTAAATAAGGCGATTCTTCTTGAAGATCATGAATTTGATAGAACTCAAAGGCAATTCATAAGTCGCCATAAAAAAAAAAAATTAAAAAAAAAAATAAAAACATCTTGTGGGCATGCTATCATTCATTACAAAACTTCAGAATACAAAGAGGAACGTCACTTTAGAAATATATAGAAAGCTTATAATAAAACTTGAAAGATACATAGAATTAAAAGTCATAGCAGCTACGCATACACAACACCAGCGAGTTTCAAGTAAATAACATTTGTAAATTACCACTCATTAATTTTTTTAGAAGGAATGAGGAATGGCAATTAAATATAAATCTTTCTTTCTCCTAGCCGTACCATCAAACACCTCTTCCATGTCAAGCTCCATAGGATCCGTCCCACCTGGTATTTCCCAGTCAAAGTGTAAGAGCAATAATGAAAGGAAGAGCTCCATACCGGCCATTGCAAATGTCATTCCTGGGCAAATCCTTCGTCCTGACCCGAAAGGTATGTACTCATAATTGGTTCCTTTAATATCATGTGTACTCCCATTGAATCTATCAGGACAAAAGCTATTAGGATTCTTCCAAATTTTTGGATCTCTAGCAATTGCCCATGCATTAACCACCACACGGGCTTTTGTTGGTATGACAAATCCTAATAGCTCAATGGCCTCACTGGAAGTTCTAGGAAGAAGCAAAGGTAAAGGGGGGTGTAATCTTAAAGTTTCTTTTACGACATTATGAAGGTAATGTAGATTATTGATATCATCATCTTCAATTTTTATTTTTGATCCAAGGACTTCTCTTATCTCTTTTTGAGCCATAGACATGACCTCTGGATGACGAATGAGTTCCGACATGATCCAACACATTGTGTTTGATGTTGTCTCTGTTGCAGCAACAAGCATGTCCTAACAAAATAATTTGTAAAAATAATACTTTTTACTCACGCCAATTTAAAGAAAATAATAAAATAGTTCGAATGAAATATTCTGATTCAATTTTTTTTATTTTAAAATTTTTAAATAAATAAAACTAAACTAGTAAAAAAATACATTAACTTTGCACATTTCTACTACCAAATTAAGATAAATTAATATGAAAATATTATAAGAGACATTAGTGGGTGGGTACTTACTAAGATCACAGCTTTAACATTATCCATTGTTATAGGAACTTGTAACTGTCCTTTCTCCTGAATTCTCAACAAAACATCAACGAAATCCTCCTCCATTTCATCAGCAACTGCTGCATTTTCTTTGTGCTCTGAAATTATCTCTTCCAAAATTTGATCCATTTCACGATAAAGCCTTTTCATTTGGAAACTTGACCCATCGAGAAGACTAATAAGAAAGCTAAAAGATGGAAACAAATCAGCTACCCTTAACATTGGAAGAAGTTTGATAGTTTCCTTCATTGCTAATATAAACCTTTGGCGACTTGTACACTCCTTCCCAATCACCGTTCTAGTTATTTGCGTGTTACTGACCACTTGAAACATCTCTGTTAGGTTCAACGGAGATCCAGCATTTGTTCGAATATTATGAAGAAGATTGTGAGCTTCTTCATATCTGATGAAGCCCAAAGATTTAACTTTCTTTGCACTGAGGAGCTCTACAGTGCATATCTTACGTAGTTGTCTCCAATAAGGACCATATGGAGAGAAGCCAATGCCACTCGACTTGTAACCAATCATCTCAACAGCTAAAAGTGTTGGTCGCGAGGCTAAAACAAGATCATGAGTATTTAGCACCTCGCGAGCAGTGCTGGAGCTAGATGCAACCACAAAGTTTACATTGCCAAGCTTGATGTTAAATAGAGGGCCATATTTCTGGGCAAGCCTATAAAATCTGTGATGGGTTTGCTCTCCAGTTATAAGATGGTGAATGCTTCCGAAGAATGGAAGCTTCCATGGCCCTGGTGGGAGTTTGGTGTTTTGTATTACTCCCTGGAATGAATGCTTCTTACTATATATGTTGAGTAGAATTAACAGAAAGGATGGGAACACGACTATGACGAGGATTGAGGGAAACAATGGAAATTGCATGATTAGCATGTATGTACTACGATATTTTGAGTGGAGGAGGAGTTGCCCTTTGATATATTTATAGTTATTTTAGATATGTTTCCATTTTGCAATTTGTCTGCAGAGAGCATTCAAGTTGACAAATTCAGAGAATAATTTATTATTTTGCCATTTTTAAAAAGTGTAGCTTTGAATTGAATGACTATGTTATAAATATTATAACTGGATATTTAGCTAGGTCTTCTGTCGGTTCCAAATAAATAATATCATGCATAGAGGACATTCCAAATGTCATTTCCCAGTATTCTAGCTTAGAAAATGAAATAGTTGTATGTTCTGTATACCTAATAAAGATTATTGCATTCAGACACCGGACACAGCTTACCATTCGTACTTCACAGTACCGAGTAATATTGAACTCGGTAGTATGAAGTATCGAGCTCAATACCGAGTAGGGGGTGATGTGGCGCATTTTCAATCGGCTTCGGACGTCGTCCGGTGTCCGAAACCAATAATTTCCCATATCTAGAGGTAAGTTTAGCTCGTGGATAACAAATAAATTTATCTGATGTTCATGGCCGGCTGGAAGAAAGCACCTGTTTATTTCAAAATTAAAATTGAGCTGTTTATTTCAGAAGTGGTCTCCATAATTTTAGTAATCTTTGATTTACTCAGCTCATCCATTTTATAGTGGTTATATGGCTTAACAATTAATATGTAAATCTGAATTAAGGAAAATTCACATGCACATCAAATACGTGAGACTCGAGCATGGAGGAGCCATAATTTTTTTTATGAAGAAAAATATTATCGATTTAAAAAATACATTCTATTTTTTCTTTTGTGCTTAAAATTAGTATTGGTGATTTTATTTTATTTTTTCAGAATTGTCATTTAAAAACATAAATTATCCTATAATTGAAAAAAAATGCTCTTCTTTTTCTTTCTACATGTTACATATAATTTTTTTCTCGGATTTTAATATTTTTAAATTGTTATAAAATTAATTTATTATTAATGTATTAAATATATATTTTTGTATAAGTAATTAAATAATTATTTATCTAAAAATTTCTCATATAATTGTGTAAACGAGTTTTTATAACCTTCAGTCAAAATTTAATGGGAATATATATTTTTTCATATTTAACAGAAAGAAGAAGAGGTAGTACTTTTTGTTATTTGAATGAAAGAGGAAATAGTATTTTTTTTTCTTTTTTTGTTAAAACCCACTGACGGGCTTATGGTTAATATAATAAAAAGTTACAGGGTCCTTAAAGGGACCTCCAGCTCACTACTGCTCCGAGGAGCTACAATCAAATTAAAAAAGAAAACTAAGAGCTGGAAGTCCCTTCTAATTCAGATAAAAAAATAACCTAATAACATTCTACAAACAAAAAAGGAAAGGTAAAGATAGAGAACCTTCAGCACAGCCCTTCCAATCACGAAAATATCCTGCACAAAACAAGCGCAAAGCTCCAGAAACCTGCAAAAGAGGACTGCAAGGATACTGAACAAAGAAATTAAGAAGAAAAAGTAGATAAAAGTAAAATTGACAAAGTTCGGGTCATAGGTAAAACTCCCTGGAAGATAAAGTTTGGTTTCTTCATATATAAGGTGATAATGTAGCCTTTGTTAAACCTATAATTTACAGCCTTCCATTCGAGATTCTGCTCATCAGTAACCAAAGCACGATAGACATAAATTCGCCTAAAAGCATGGATAAACACAGTAATATTGAATCCAAGGAACACCTCATCCTCACTATAAGGGAACGAAATAGAGAACTCCCAAGAAAGACTGCAGCCATTAGTGATTATCCCAAAACAACCACAGAGATGAGCCAGATCGCACAAACCCAATAGGAAGAAAAAAACCATCAATACCATTCTTACAAAATAGGGAAAGAACACCAATATACACCCAAAAAAATAAGGATAATCACCATTCATACAAACTAGTCATACAATCCAACATTACCATCATTCCCAACCTAGATAACCTTCACCTCTCTAAAAATGTGCAAATAAAGCGAAGAGATAAGGATAATCTCCAGATTGATCCCCTCATACCAATAAGAATGCTGCTCATCAGTAACCAAAGCATGATATACATAAATTCGGCTAAAAGCATGGATAAACACAATAAAATTGAAACCAAGGAACACCTCATCCATACTGCAAAGGAATGAATTAGAGAAGTCCCAAGAAAGACTACAGCCATTAGTGATTATTTCAAAACAACCACAAAGATGAGCTAGATCACACAAACCCAACAGGAAGAAACAAACCATCAACATCATACCAACAAAACTGGGAAAGAACACCAATATACCCCAAAAAATAGTAGGAACAAAAATTTAATCCCTAGTGAAATTACTAATGCTGCCACAACAGATATAATTGTAATAAAAATACTTGTCTAAATGATTTAAACCATTATCAGACATGTCAATAAGAGTTAACAAAATGTAACCGAAAAGATCCATTCTACTAATCAATTGAAACAAAATAAAAACCTCAAACCCCGAAAATAAATCCTGAGCAGGCTAGCTAACAGAATAACCAACGAGAACCAGAGATGCCTAGCTGCTCAACATGACAATAGAATTAAAGGGAGCAAAGGAAAAAGGTAAACATGGAACACATAAGGATAAGCCCATTAATTAAACTGAATATAAACTATATTCAGCCGATCCAACCTAACCAGGCCCTTAATATCCCTAGGTAAAGAGTGCTCAAAATAATTGTTGAACCTAGCCAGAGAACAACCCATTTTGGCTAAACTATCAGCCACTGCATTACTTTCACGCATAATGTGGAAAAAAGAGTAATTAATGAGATATCTCTAATCTTATAAAACTTACTAGGACTAGGAGAAGTTTTACCATCAAGATAATGAATTAAAAGCATCGCATCAACTTCAACCCAAATATTGGTAATGCCAAGAGAGAAACATAATTGGGTACCAAATTGAAGACTATCAATTTCAGCTTGGATGGCATTAATACCAGTGGAGGGACCCACAAAGGCCACAACAACATTACCATTATAATCCCGAATAATGCCACAACAACCCGCATTCAAATTATTACTAGAACAAACCGTATTAAGTTTGAAGCTGCCTTCCACAGGCTTCCTCCAATAAATCAGCTTTTCTTTTCTGCTAATAAGATGAGGGTTGAAATTCAAGCCAAACTCATTAGCAACTTGGAGACAATTTTTAAAGGAAGTAGCATTAACTAACTTAGCACCATACAACTCAGATTTCTAACTTTAGCAATGGCAATTAAAGCATTCATAATAATATTATCATGTTTAGAGGCATTCCTACTATCCCATAAAAACCAACAAATAATTTCAGGCAGAATATTTCTAATATGACCTTTAGTCGGATTCAACCAATCTTTGAGGAGACAAGCAAAAGAATCATAGAGAGTAGTAGAAAGAACATTAAACAAATTATCAAAATGAATCCAAACTTTCATAGAAATCGGGCCATGGATAAACACATGATTCAAATTCTCAATATGATAGAAACATTGACATTTAGAAACAATATACAAACCTTTCTTCGCTAAAAGAGAATCAAAAGGTAAATACTTGTGTAAAATCCTCCAAAGAAGAAATGAAAAAGTAGGAGGGATACTATCATGCCAAATAGAAACATATAGAGAATTTTTAGGCAAACTCTGTCTAATGGAATTCCAAACTTATTTAGTATCAAAGCTGCAATCAATAGACCGGTTAAATAAAATGTAATCCTCATTCTCCGTTTGAATAGAGATCTTAGTAATTAAGTTAATAATAAAGTCATGAACAATATTAGCAAGTAAACTAACATTCCAGTACGTTGTCATTGATAATAAAATCATTGATTTTCTAAGAAGAAGTAGAATGAGTATAAAGGAGACTATCAATAGAGAAATTACTCCACCATTTATCTTGCATAAAAAAAATGTTCCCCACACCCATACCCCATTGAATGAATTCTTCAGCTTCCCACTTGATACTATAAAGTCTCTTCCAGTTAAAAGAGTCACCTTGTTTAAAAAAAAAATTAAGAGGGTGTTTCCCAGCACAATATTTAGCTGTCATGAATTTAGCCCATAAACTTTTATTAGTTCTGAAAGAAAACCAAAGTTTATGATTAAAAGTCTTGATCATATCAGTAAAGGTACGAAACCCTAATCTTCCCTCATGTATAGACCCTGCACAATTACTCCAAGAGCTCCAAATAATAGACCGATTACCATCCTTGGAACCCCAAAGAAATTTATTAAAAATAATCTCCATTCTACTACAAATATTAAGAGTAGGACATAATGTATGCAACAAATATATAGGAATCGAGCATAAAACTTGTTTTATGAGAACAAGCCTACCACCATAAGAAAGAAAATTGAAAGCCCAAGAAGAGAGTTTCTTATGGATAGTCCTAAAAATATCATCAAATAAATCAGAACGTTTATTCCCCTTATAAAGCGGAACCCCCAAATACTTCAACGGAAGAAGTCTTTTTTTTAAACCAAATTTCCTTTCAATACTAGTAATGCGGCTATTGGAAATAGATTTAGCAGGAATAAAGCAACTTTTAGTAGAATTAAAAATTAACCCTCTAGCATGCTGGAAAGTATTGAGGAATTTGAAAAGGATATTCAGCATTTTAATAGAGCCATTAGAGCATATAATAAAATTATCAGCAAAACTCAAATGATTGATGGTGAAACCACCACTCATTTTATAGTTCAGACTAGGTTGAATTCTAAAAAGATTGTTAATGGGTCCACAGCAATGATAAAGAGAGCAGGAGATAATGGGTCCCCCTATCGAATACCATTAGAAGAATTGAAAAAACCATGAGACTTCCCATTGATAATGACTTAGAAATAGTAGAATTCAATATAGTTTTTAATGAGGCTGATGAATTGCAAATTAAAACCAAAAAGTTTTAAAATTTTATAGAGAAATTCCCAATTGATATTATCATAGGCTTTGGTAATATCGACTTTAAAAATAATATTCCCACTAGCAATCCTAGCATATAAATCATGAACTAACTCTTGAGCAAGTAACACATTATCAAAAATATATCTAACTTTAATAAAACTAATTTGTTCTAAAGAAATAATGGAGGGAAGAATAAGAGCAAGCCTTCCCATAATGATTTTAGCAACAATCTTGTTAAAAAAGGTACATAAGCTAATGGGATGGAAATCACTCCAATAGTTAATAGCATTAGACTTAGGAATTAAAGCTATTGAAGTCGAAGTAAAGAATTTAGGGATGCGATTACCCCTAAAAAAATCAACCACAACATTTATAAGGTCCTATTTAATGATCAACCAACTTTTTGAAAAAACTTGTTAGTAAAACCATCAGGACCGGCAACAGTATCAGAGTTCATATCTTTCAACGTATTCCAAATTTTCTCTTCAGAATGAATATTTGTCAACATCAAATTATCCTCTTTAGAAACAAGCGTGGGAATTAAGTAAAAATTAGCATTTAAGTCGGGGCAAAATTTGCTATTAAAATATTTTCAAAATATAGGGCACCTGAGGAAGAAATTTGATTATGGTCCTCAATCACATTACCATCAGGGGTAATGAGCTTGTGAATACTCTTACTGAAAGAGGAAACAATATTTAATCTACGGTATTCGCAAATTTCATGTGAGAGAAGAGTAAAATGAGGAAGGATTGAGAAGCAACGTTTACCGTTCTTTGATTTTCTTTTTCACGTCAAAAAAATTTCAAGTCAACAAAATTTCATGTTCAATGAAGAAACAATAAATTATTATGAAATAAATAAATAATAAAATTCTTTATATGATGTCTGTATGTCCAGCGGGTTTGAAGTATTAGCTGAAGATATTAACAAAGTGAATGATGTTATCCTAGATACTATCCCAGAAGTGGCAAAGGATTTTAATGATCCTTTTACTAATTCGTTTAACAAAGAAGAATCTCTTGTTTTTATTGATTCTCTTTAAGACTCAAATGGCAATATAAATCCTGTTTTGGATCCTGAAGCTACTAATTTTACTGTAGCAGACGTGAATATTGAAGGAACTGATATTTCTTGAATCAAAGATCAAGGAAATGTTTAAAAAACAAATCAAGGAAGTACTAATAAAGAGCTATTGAATTCTTCTAAACAAAAACCCAAATTACAGCTGAAGTTTTTGGGTCCTATTGAACCCGTCTCTAGGAAAAGGAAAGTTGAAGGTGAAGTGAAGAAGAAAGGCGGGGACTCTTCCCCTTTATATAAATAATGTCTTCTTTTGTTTTTTGGAATTGTAGAGGGACAAAAAACAAGGAAGCCTCTCTTTACCTAAGGGAAGTTATGAATGACAATGCAGTTTTTTTTATTGGGCTAGCTGAAACCAAGCTGGAAAATATTTGCAGAGGAGATGTTAATAGGATTATTGGTTATGATTGGGATTTTTTCTATCATCCAGCTAATGGTAGTTCTGGAGGTATTATGGTACTTTGGAATATAAATCTAGTTTCCTTTACTGTGGTGGAACACTCTTCTCAATTAGTGTTTGGGGTTCTTGAAACTACTAGTAAGGGATGTTGGCATGTGGACACGGTGTATGCCAATAAGGAATTCCAAGTTAGAAGGGATCTTTGTGAAAACCTTGGAAGGAATGTGTTGGGTGGTATTCCTACTATTGCGGGAGGAGACTTCAATTGTCTTCTTTCTAAGGATGATAAGAGAGGTGGTAAAAGGTTTTGTATGTCTAAGGGACCGAAAGAGATGAAATTTTTTATGGCTAATCATGATGATGATTTAGGTGTTATTGGTCCAAGGTTCACTTGGTATAACAATAAAGAAGGATCTTCAAGGATTTGGGAAAGATTGGACAGATGCTTACTGAATTCTGCGGCTTTACAATAAGTTCTTTCGTCTTCGGTTAGACATCTAGCAAGGGTGGCATCTGACCATTGCCCTAATGCTTTTAAATTTAATGAAGTGCCTCAATTTCATTCTAAAGTTTTCATATTTGAAGACACATGGAAGTCCTTTCCAGTAACTTGGAAGATTGCTACTAAAGATTGGGAGAAATAGGAATTTGGTGGTGCAGCAGATGTTTTAAATATAAAAATTCAGAGAACTTTGAAGTCTCTTTATTTTTGGAAAAAAAATAAGTTCAAAAAACTGAATTTTCTTAAGGAGGAATTGAAGGAAGAGATTCTTAAATTACAACTAGAAGAAGAATTGGAAGGAGGCCTAAGTCCATATAAGTTGGCTTTGCTTCGTGCTAAAGTTAATGAACGCAATGTTAATTTGTTCAGATTATCTACTTAGTGGAATCAAAGACTGAAGGCTATATGGAATGAATAGGGTGACACAAACTCAAAATTCTTTCATGACTATGCTTCGGCTAGAAGGAATGGAAAATTGATTAGACAAATTAAGGATTGAAAAAACTTGGTTGTGGAAGACATGGAGCAGATTGAATCAATTTTTTTTTAAGTTT